AGAGAGAGAGAGAGAGAATTTCTAAACGTCCCATATACGATTCTTTAGACATTCGTCTATACTTCGTATCTAATAAATCATTTGGAAAATAATAATAATACAAATTGTACTACCCTCGATATTTGTATATTCCAAAAATAAACGACACCAGAGAAAGAGAGAGAAAAAATTTCTAAATTAGGTTGAACCGTGATCGAGTTTCGAGTTTTCGAAAGTTCGTCTACTTTATATTTAATAAATAATTTGAAAAAAAAAGTAATAATACAAGCTGTGCTATACTCGAATTTTAATAAATCATTTGGAAAATAATAATAATAATAATAATAATAATAATACTGGCTGTACTACACTCGATATTTGTATACTTCGATATTTTTAAAAGCAGGGAAAGAGAGAGAAAAAATTTGTTAAACTAGGTTGAACTTGTGATCGAACTCGGAAATTTTCGAAAGTTCCATATACGATTCTTTAATAGATTCTCATTCCTCTACTTTATATCTAATAAACGATTTGGAAAATAATAATAATAATACGAGCTGTACTATATTCGATATATACGATAATTGTAAAACCAAACGACACCAGAGGAAGAGAGAGAGAAAATTTCTAAACGTTCCATATATCCGATTCTTTAGATTCTTATTCGTCTACTTTATATCTAATAAATCATTTGGAAAATAATAATAATATTACAAACTGTACTATACTCGATATTCGTATATTCGATAATTCTAAAATCAAGTCTAGATACCAGAGAGAAAGAGAGAGAGAGGCGCTCGTCGAAATACTCGGAAATGAAGCGTGTCACGCAAATCCAAACAGTTTCCTCATAGTAAGAAATAAACCGAGGCCGGGTCCCTTTGGCGAGGGCAACCGTGCGTGTAAATTCTCCCTCTCGAACTCGATCAAACCGTGCTCGATACAAGCCAGACGCGGGATACGAAGGAAATCGAGATCCGACGGACGGAAGGACACGGAGGGAGAATTTTCCTCGAGGCACGTGCAACAACAGGTGCAAGATGTGCAAGAGGAGGGAGGGAGGGGGAGGATGCAAGACACGTTTACGGATTTACATGCGGGCATAAGGTTTTCGCGTTTTCGACTCGATACTCGAATTCGATATTCACGTTCAATGGTTTTATTATTATACATTTGCGGATATTACAATGTTATATTGTCATTACGTGTGGATTGATATTTGAATGGAAAGGAGATGTGTAATGTGGAATGGAAAATTTGCAAGATTGTGCGCTATCTCTTCTTTTAATTTGACAGATATTAATCTAAATGGATATCGTAAAATCAACCTGATCCAATATTTCGTATCCAATAATTTTTCCATGTATTAATGAACGGTGTTAAAGAAATTGGAAATTTAGTCGAAGCTGTTAATCTAGTAAAAAATGAAATCAGAAATTATACATAAAATTTTTTAATCAAACTTAACAGTTTGCATTTGATTTGGCCGGCCATCAATTTTCTGTACAGCAATAAACCTCGATCAAAAAAACCTGATCCAACAATTTTTCAAAATAAACTTCGAACGGAGTTGCAAATATTGAGGTATCTCGGTGTAACATTTGCGCAAGCTAAAATAGAAACGCGACCCTTTATCGCGTTCCAACTTGGTTATAACGACCTTTAAATAGTGTCACGATTGTTTCGTAATTAATTAAAAATTGGCACGGTGGGCCGGGCGAAAATAAAGCCGCGCCAATCGCGTAAATCACAACAAATTCCCTCCTCCCCGCTAGGGAAACGCTAGGGAAACGCTAGGGAAACGCTAGGGAAACGCTAGGGAAACGCTAGCGAAACGATAGCGAAACGATAGCGAAACGCTAGGGAAACGCTAGGGAAACGCTAGGGAAACGCTAGCGAAACGATAGGGAAACGCTAGGGAAACGCTAGCGAAACGCTAGCGAAACGCTAGGGAAACGCTAGGGAAACGCGCCTCGAGATTTCTTTTTAAGGATTGTTGCGGTTCGAAAATATGAGAAATTTGTAATTCGTATCTCGCGGATACATTGCATATATTATGCCAATTTTAAATTCCACACGATTACAAAGAAAGCTATACATTTTCACATCCGAAAATTTGTAGATTAGGTTTCAAAGAAAGGCTTCTTTGAAAGTGGCATACCAATTGGAAGATGGATCTATTAAGAAGAAATAAAGGAAAAAGGATCGAAGCGGTCCAATCCTCTTGGCCGCGCTTCAAAAGCCTGGATCCTCCAACTCGATTGTTTCGATCGATAATTCTTTGGAATTATTCTCTTCTATATATTTATCTATCTTATATATATATATATATTTATCGCGTTATTTTTTTTTTTGTTTACTTTATTATCGAATTTTTATTTGTTTGAGAAGATAAACGCTCGGAGGAGGGTGTTTCCACGAATTAGTTTTTGGCTGGAATTATAATTATTCGTTCGTTCATAATATAATGATATAATATTCGGCACGTCGTTGTTCGTAATTCGCGATAATTTCGGCGAAATTCGACGCAAGCGACCTCCCCCCCCTCTCGATTATTGCATTATCGTTGTTTATCGTTGTTTTAATCGTGGAATATGAATAATTCCCTCTCGGAAAGTTATAATAAGTTTGATTATCCATAATGCTATGATCATATACGAATTAATTATTCTACCTTATCGAATTTAATATTATCTTCGTACGTATGAAATTTCAAATAATTTCTTTCTTTTTAATTTTAATCGAGTCGAAACAAGCGAATAAAGTAAATGATAAACAATAATATATATATGTGTAACAGAGTTTTAACAAAAATAAAAAATTACTCATTTCATCCCAACGATCGTTCTTCTACTAAATTTCACGTTTAATTGTCCGTCGAAATTATTATTATTAATCGTAAATGAAATTTTATTATTAATCTATTTTTAATTTTAAATTATTTTTATTTTTTAAATTATTAATTTTATTATTAAAAATTATAAATGAAAAACGAATCTTCTTTTTCCCATTCTCATAATAAAAAGGAAAAGAAAAGAAGGATATCATCAAGAAGTTTGAAAATACGACAACGCCCTCTGCCCTCGCGATTTTCGCCGCGAAACCAACATGGCGGCCGGTTGATCAACATTCCCTTACTAGACCGAGTCAAAGGATTCGTTCCCCCTTTTTTCTTTCTTTATTAGATGGATGGATCATTTTTGATCTCTCATATTGAAATTCGAAGGAGGAATTAAATTTCGAAATTTCTTTTTAAGGGTTGTTGCGGTTCGAAAATATGAGAAATTTGTAATTGATTCGTATTTCGCGGATACATTATGCCAATTTTAAATTCCACACGATTTACAAAGAAAGCTATACTTTTTCACATCCGAAAATTTGTAGATTAGGTTTCAAAGAAAGACTTCTTTGAAAGTGGCACACCAATTGGAAGATGGATCTATTAAGAAGAAAGAAAGGAAAAAGGATCGTTACCTTAATCCCCCTCCCCTCTATTGATTAAGGAAAATCCGTATTCACCGGTCGATCGAAATCAGCGATACTTAATCACCGTGTTCGAATTAATTAGGAGGTCCATCCGC